ATTTGAAAAAGTGTTTCTTTACTATTTAAAGAAATATGAAGTGGACTGATTATGAGAATTAAATTAATATCTTTTCTGGAATTTCAGAAGTAAATCCTTTTTTCATTTTTAATGATATAACTCTTCTTATATTAATTTATTCTTGCCAAAATTACAGGAATAATAAAATTATTTAAATAATTTTCTTCTTCAAAATTTTCTATTCTTTTAAATACTTTAAATACAAAATATATATATTTAATATAATCCTTAGTATTATGTAATAAATGTAAAATAAAATCAACTAATTTGCTATTAGACATTGATCTTAATTCATGATTATTTTGAATTCTACCATCATAATCATGAATATTAAGTTGTTCTACTTTATTTTCATATGAATCTTCAATTAAATGTTGTTTTCAAGATTCTTTTCTTTTATAATAACTTTTACCTATTTTATTCATAAAATTATTATTGATATTAGCAATAATTAATTCAATATCAATTCCATTAGAATTATGTATTGAAATATTATCTAATAAATAAAATGGTATTTTTGAAATTTTAGAATTTGTATTTAATAAGACGTTTGCAAAATAATAAATATTATGTATTGTATTAATGTTGGTTTATTACATCTATAATTATTAAGATAATCATTTATATTAAGAATAAACATATTATTTATATATAATTATCAACAGATTGTTAGTATTCATTTGAAGTTAGATTTTTTTGTCGATCTACAGTTTTTCTTGTTACTGAAATTCCAATATTTGCTAATGTATCAATTGAAGAAGAGGAAACTTCAGAAGTTTGTAAATATGATCCAATATTTACTTTAAAACAATTAATATATTTGTTTGTTATTAATACTTGCTAAAAATAACATATAGAAACTAATTTTTTTTGTTATTTTCATTTGTTTTATTATTTTTAGTATTAGGATTAGTTTTAATAAATAATCCATCAAAAAATCCAACTAAATCTTTATCAGTTATTTTCAACATTGATTTAAATGCAATTGGATCATAAATAGATTATTGATTTAATCTATATTAATTATTATAAAGAATATTAGACATTTTAATTATTTTATTACTTAAATTAATTTTATTTGAAATTGTTAATTCTTTAATAATTTTTTGATAATTTGATTCAAATTGTTTTAATTCTTTAACAGTATATAAAATATCTTTTCTAAATGAATAATTATGATTTCCGATTTTTAATATATTATCTTCATAATCATTTTTTCTAGAAATTGGTACTTCATATTCTTTACTTCTAAAAGTTTCTAGATCTTTATCAGTTCTTTTTCTGCATATACTACAAATCATTGCAAATTCATCTAATCCTAATAATTTAATTAATCTTTTTGGTATTTTAATAATATTTTTATTTATTTTATTTTTTGTTTTATTTATTTTACTTCATTTAAATAAATTTCATATTTTAAATGTTGACAAACCTTTATTTTTTTATTTTCTATTTCTATTAATTCATTTTATAAATTATCATCATCATATAAATTGGTTTTTCTAGTTATTGGTGTTTTATATTATTCATTTTGTAAATATTCTTAATCATTCTACATATATTACAAATCATTAAATTTTCATCTAATTCTAATACTTCTATTAATCTTTTTGGAATTTTAGTTAAATTTGTTGAAGTTTATTCATAAATATTATGTTAGATGTTGAAAACTTTTAATTTTTAATAATTCATTTAGTATATATTGATTGTAATGTGTTTGATAAAGTAATATATTAATAATTATAATTTTTTTACTTTTTTCTGGAATATCTGTTTCATTAAAAATTTTTTCTAATTCTTACTTTACATACATTATTTATATATAAACTACAATTTTTAATATTGTAGATGACATTTTTTAAAAGTTTTTTTAATTATGTAAAAATTTTAGCAAAAATTATTTGCATTAAATTAGCCTTTTTATATTTAAATTTATTTAAATTAATATAAGAGTTAAAGATGTTACAATTATTACTCTTTATACTACCTAAATTAGTAAATTAAATAGTCATAGTTTGTATAATTATTTGTGATTTTTAATCCTTTTAACATAAATAATATTTATATTTATATATAAATTATTTAAAAGTTGATTCAAAGCTAACTTTTGTGTTACTAAAGTTTTATTGTGAAACTTTTATTTTATATTCTATATAACTTATAATAGTAAATAAAATGGTTGGCATAGTTTATATAACTATTTGTGACTTTAAACAAATTTTTTAAAATTTAAAATATTTTATTTACTATATAATTACATAATTAAATATTTTAGTTCAAAGCTAACTTTTAAGTTATTTAATATTTTATTGTGAAACTTTTATATTATATTCTACATATCTTAAAATATTAAATAAAATAGTTATCATAGTTTGAATAAATATATATGGTTTTGCCCAAAACTTTATACTATAATAATTTATTTTAATAAATAATATATAATTTATATATAATTATTCAAAAATTTGATACAAGACTAACTTTTGTGTTTTTTAAAATTTTATTGTGAACTTTAATATTATATTTTACATAACCTAAAATATTAAATATAATGTTTAGTATAATTTGCGCAAGCGTGTATGGTATTTCCTAATCTTTGAATCTAAAATAATAAATTTATTATATAAATTATATAATTAATCATTTCAGCCCAAAGCTAACTCATGTACAATATTTTATTTTTTGATTAATTGTTTTAAAATCATATTCTGCATAATCTATAATATCAAATTAATTAATTAGTAGAGTTTGTATAAGTATATTCATTGTTGCCTGAAGTTTTAAAGTTTAGATTAGCTGATTTTATATAATCCGATAATTCAGTTATATATGATCAGCAAATGATTGACATGTGATATAAGCATGTTCACTATACTATGCTACTAAATTTACTGCAATACAATTTCAAACGCAGTTTAAGCTAACAATATATAAAGAAGTAGAAAAATTAAAAACAATTTTCAATAGTTATCCACTATTGGAAAGGACCAATGTGTGTGAAGATGTCTATGAATGATTTATTATCAGATTATAAATATTCATCTAAATACTTTTATGAATTAAATATTAATTATAAAGATTATAAATTTTAGTTATCACAAACAGATTTGAACCTATTTTAAAAGCTGAGCGAATCAAGTATCAGTTTTTTTTCTTAACTATATATATCTGAAATTAGAGTTTACAAATTTCAAATTAAATATAATTAGAGAATTTTAACAGTTGTGAATAATTAAAATTATTCTATCATTTTGAATGCTTTTTTTTTGAGATTCTATTGCTAGAATTACTATGAGACTAAAAGACTATTAATTTTTTATTAATTTTTATTTTATTTATGTGAAACTGCATATAGCATTAAACTATTAAAATAAATCTTTAATTAAATATGATGTCAAACCATTTAATATTCAAAGAAAACTATTAATTGATCAATATAGTGAAATTGAAGTTATTTATTGAGTAGAGTGAAAGGAAACTTATTTTGAGTCAAATTTTAGCGGTTAACATTATTTTAGAAATAATATTTTTTTATATTTACTCAAAATGGAAGAAAACCAAATAGGTCTTTGAACACAAGAAATTATCAAGAAATTAAAGGTATTATTAAAGACAAAAATAAAAGCAATTTCATCTAAATGATATACAAAAAATTAAAAAAATTATAAATTGTTAATTATTAATATATCTTACTCTTGTAAAACATAAAAGTTATTGATCTAATATCAAAGTTATATGGGGTGAGTGCTGGAAAAAAGGACCAAATCGACAAAATATTTTTTTTTAAATAATAAATGATCTGAATCAGATGACCAAATCTACACCTATTTTACTTAGAAACTTTTTTTAAAAAAAAAATCAATTTGGTCCATTTTCCTAGCACTCACCCCATATTATAAAGAAGTTAATTGATATTAATGGATGGATTTCAAATCCCATTTTTATTTTTTTACAAGATATTTTAAATTAGCGATGCACTTGATCATTGGAGATGGTGAAGCAGCCATAGACGGAATGGATAGAATTATTTTTATCAGATGATAATAATTTCGATGGTTTCAGATTTATTAATTATTCTTTAAGAAGAGTAATACCCAAATAGTTTTTAAAATTTTTTAATTCATCATTAGAATTTCAAATTCAATAATTAATTAGATAAATCCTAAAATTAGTCATTATGTCAAACAATTAGAAAAGAGTATAATATTGACCAGTAATTCAATAGGATGATTTTAATATAGTTATTTATATGGTAATTAATTGTTCTGATGCATTTAGTTGTATTAAAATAGACCCAAATGTGATCTTTAAATGAAATTTAAATAACAAGTTACTTTTATTATAATAATTATAAAAAAAGGTGATAAATTATTAGATTTTTACCAATAATAATTGCAATCACACATGATAATGTAGTTTATTTATAGCTTAATGTAAAAATATCAGCATGTTTAAGATACTATGATCCTATTTGGCTATAAATAATTGTATTTAAAGAATTTTGATATAACTTGGAATGTAAATACGAGAATTTAAATCATGAAAATGATCTAACTTAATATTTTGCAACTTCTATAATAAAAATTTGCAATTTATAATTATGCAAAACTTATTTGACCATTATAAATTAAATTTTATGCAATATAACTGAGTAGGCTTTAATGCTTTGTTTGGAACGGAAAACTGTACGGAATTAATCACACAAATTTTCTCAAATATAGTAATAATAATTCTGAAACTAAACTTCATTTTTTAGACTCACCCAAAATATTATTAACTTGGGCTATATATATACGTTTAAAAATCGATCATTATGAATCCGTTATCTTAATTATTTTTATTTATTAAGAAAGTTCTCATTTGATATTATTTTACGCAAATTTTCTTTTTATTATTAGAATATAAAGTATAAATTATTAAAATGAATTGGTACAAATCAAAAATATAATATAAGTAATATATAATGGAATAAAACCAAATTAAAAAGAGGTAGGAGGTGGCCAGAGACACATGGTCGTGATCTTGAGTTTTAGCCATCGTACTCCAATATCTTCTGATATGTTAGCATTTCCAAATGTGACATACTCATCAATTTCAGCGCGTTCCCAAGAAGTAGACTTCTCTGTAATAGTTTTTTCAGATGTACCTTCAGTACTCGATGCGTTTAAATTAACCCTCTTTTTCCATTTGTATTTCCAAAGGTATTTGTGAACCCACAGGTGGTGGGTTCGACTTGTTTCTTACAAATTTTGCATATGCTGAGATGTGGCTCTGTAGAAAACTTGTAAGTGCCGTAACCAAAGTGACGGACGATTTGAAGCTTATTGTAAGCTTGACAAGATGCGTTCTTGCAGTATTTTTTGAAAGAAAAAACATTAATTATATGAGCTCATGTCAAATTAATTTTCAACAATATTTACCCTTGAGATTGAGGCCATGAGTTGTTTCCTCAAATTAAGCCTTTTACTCGAACTATGACTTGCAAACTTTCTTTTCACAGCAAGACCTTTATCAAAATTAAAATCAAATGGAGAACTTGCTGGATTTGAAGAACCTGTAGAACTTGGAGAACCTGGCGAACCTGGAGAACTTGGAGTATTTGAAAAAGTTAAGTGGCTAAATTGACTTAAAGAACTTAAAGAAAAATTTGGACTTGAACCTGAAGAATTATTCATTGTTATAAAGTGATACAATCATTCTATGAAAAAAAAACTTTTTTTATATACATTTTTTACCTGAATAAAATAGGTTTGATTGCTCTTTTACACTCAAATGCAATTATTATAATAATTCTTAATAAAGATCCCAATAATGTTACAATATTCTATATTTGATCGTATAAAGGCATATTATTTATTTATTTTTATAAAAAAAACAGATGCGGTCTGATGATTAAATTAACCAAATTAAATTAGGCTTATTCAATTCTGATTGATGCAATTTTTGATGCAAATTTTGAGCAGTATGATTGGCCAAAATTTTGCATCAAATTTGCATCGAATGCATTAACTTTTTTGTAGATGCACTTGATGCAAATTATTAAACAGCCAATTAAATTTATGTCACACCATTTTTTTTAGAAATCTCCTCATTCATCAAAA